AAAATCAGGGATCTAAGGCCTGACAAACACCTGATAAGAGCATTCCTGCTGCATGACATGGATGTTTTTAGCAAAGAGAGCAAAGGAATTGAAGGGGGAGTCAATAAGCCTCACAATGAAGGCAGATGCTTGTGTTCATCCAGCATCAGTGTGGAAATGGGGCTGGAAATCACGTAGCTGGAGCCTGTTCCTATTGAAATGAGATCGCACCCACACGAGCGCATCAGTGAGATTAAGCTGTGGTTGGCGTTTTTAAAATGCTGGAATAGCAGAGCGTTCATTATCCCATCACCCCTTCTCAGTGCAGCCACAAATGTCTGTATTTATCCATTTGCTGGCAGTTCGGTGGGGAAAGGCAGCTGGAGCCCGCGGCTGGCTGCTGGTGCCCGGGCTCGTGTGTGACAGTTGTGTCCTTTGCTTCTATTTCTGTAGAGCTATTTTGATGGAATGCACAGCGATGGGAACTGTCACATCCCGGGCTGTGGAGGGTCCCGGGGGAGCTCGGCAGCGCTGTCCCGCGCTGGGCATTGCTCTGGAGCTCCAGGGCAGGGCGCTGCCGCAGTGGGTGACACCCCGGTTCCTGCTGCGCCCTGGAGAGCAGGTGGCAGAGCCAGAGCAGGGAGGAGGTCGTTTTGTCTGCCTTGGCTTCCAGGGCATTTGGTGTTGTGCTGCTCAGTCCAGGCTGTGTCCAGGAGTGTCCAGGCTGCGGCTCTGTCAAGGTCAGGAGAAGCAAAAGGAACGTGGGAACTTTTCTGTCGTGGATTTGGCCTCCCACGGTCCTGACTCGTCCCTCAGCAGTGGCTTCCTCACCTGGTGGGAACGTGCCTCTGAGCAACCTGCTCTAGTGTAAAGGTCCCTGCCCGTGGCAGGGGGTTGGACCAGACGGTCTTTACAGTCCCTTCCTACCCAAACCATTCTGGGATTCCTTGATCCTCCGGGCTGCTCCGTGGGCATTGGCTCAGCCCCAGGGCTCTGCTCAGCTGCCTCCCGTGCAGCATCCCCCGTGATCCCTCCGGAGGGTGCCCACCCATCTCCCGTGTTCCCCCGGGGACGGGGCGAGGGGTCGGGCTGCGGAGCCCCCTCCTCTCCTGGGCTGCGGGGCGCTGCCAGCCCGCGGGCAGCCGCGAAGCCCCAGCCCCCCGTTCCCGAGGCCGGAGAGCTCGGAAGCCTTTGGAAACTCATCCTGGAGAGCCCTCTAGCGAGAGCAGCGCCCGCCCGAGCCCGCCGGGCTCCCGGGAATGTCCCGGGATGCTGCTGCACCCGAGGGATGCTCCGGGGGGCTGTCAAACCCAAGGGATACGCCGGGATGCTCCGGGATGCTCCAGATGCTGACGCATCCAGGGGATGCTGATCCCTGATCGATAGAGTAGGGTGGGATAAAACACAGTAACAGAAAAATTCTGCTGGAGCACCTCGAACCTTCTTGCCTGGAGGAGACAAATGCTGTGTGGATAAAGTGCTGATGACAAGCTGTGAGGGTGATTTACACAGCAGTGTAATGTGGATTCACGTTTTATCCATGTGCTGATCTCTGAGCTGTCCCTTCCATCTCCTGCTGTCCCCGTACTCTGTCCCAGGGTTGACTGCAGGGAGCCTGACCCTGGTCCCCATGGGGGAGTGAAAGGTCCTGCTGTGGAGGAGCAGAGAGGCAGGAGCTGAGAAAAGGAAAGAAAACCCACAAAAGATCTGTTTCTCAGCTAGAAATGGCAGCACTGGCTGCTGTGCTGTGCCTAGAAAAGCTCCACAGCCAGAAATAGATCTTCTGCCTTATGAAAGGGCCAAGAATGGAAGCTCCAGGTGCATGCCTTCCTCTGGCCTGGGGCACTGCAGCTCCCAATGCCACAGGTGTGGCTGTGTGGTACCTGTTCCACAGCGTTACACCCCACGCCCTCCCCGGGGACCAAGGTGTGGTGACAGTGGGAGGAATTGGACATGCTTTGTTTCTAGGATGTGAGGCCAGGCAGCAGCACTGCTGCCAGACGGCCAGGAGGAAGTTCACCCCAATATAAAAGCAGGGAAAGTCCGTCTGGGTGCAGAGCTATTACCCCTGGATGCAGCTGGCTTCTTGCAAGGATCAGCACGAGCAGCCGAGCAAGGTTTTGCATCTTTTTGCAGGCTCTGTGATGCCAGAGCTCTTCCAGCTCCAAAATCTTGGGGCTTCACCTGTCCTCTGTGTGGCAGGGGTTGCTGCTCTGCCCCTCCCGGAAAGCCCAGGCACTGTGTGAGCCGTGGGTGGTTTCTAGGTCATTCAGTGCTGCTGCCACAGGCATCCACGGGCTGCACATTGCCTGTCCCTGAGCCACTGTGTGTGTGCAGGGCTTGGCACAGTGAAGTCCTGTGACGGCAGTGAGGGAGGTGACAGCGGTGCCAAGGACAGCCCGTCCAGCTGCTGCCTGTGCAGGCTGCACCTCTCTGTGTGGATGGCAGCTGCTGGCAGGTGTTTTTGAACAGGTCAGCATCCTCCCTGCTCTGCAGAGATGTGTTTGCTGACTGTGCCAAGCAGCATTTGGCAGGCAGAACCCTCAGTGTGACTGACAAAGTCAGGTTATCTCCTTGGCGGTGGTTTGCAGCCAGCGGTGCTGCCAGGCTGGGTCAGGTGCCAAGCTGGAAAATGCCACTGGAGGCATTTTCTTAACTGCTCATCAGGAACAGCAAGTGGAAGCAGGCTTTGCTCCTGCACTGCTCTGGTATCTTCCTGCCCCGGGCCCCGCAGGTCAGGAGCTCTGCAGCCGGCACGGTGCAGTCCTGCTGATCCTGTTCCTGCGGCCACGCTCCTTCCCCCGGGTGGTGGGTGGGAGCAGGGGCTCCTCACTGGGCACACCGCACGTGTGCAGCCTGCACAGGGACAGAGCCTGCTGATTTCCTCTGCTCCTGTGCCCCAGTTCCCTCGTCCAACAAGTGGGGGGCTGCAGGAGTCAGCCTGTGCTTTGCCCTTCGCCTGCCACAGCTCCTTCCCCTCTGCAGCGGAGGCGGCTCATTCCTGCTGCTGTGCCAGCCCTGCTGCTGCTCCTGCTGCAGTCGTGTTGCTCTTCTCCCTGTGAGGTCCCTGGCAGAACCCGTCAGCTGGTTCAGAGCGTGGCCGCACTGTCACTCAGGCTGGTCCTTGGGATCAGCAGGAGGTGGGAAGGAGGAGCAGGAGGAGGAGGAGGAGGTCAGGCTGCAGCACGGCTCACGCTGAAGATCTCCTTACGTAAAATTCATCTGCAGAAATCAGCTGTGCCACTTCGGAGCAGGGAAGTGGGCTGTGCTCTGCTCACGGCAGCTGCAGGCAACAGGATGTTGAGGTTCTGCTTTTGCTTGAGCCTTGTAGTTCTTGGCTGAGCGTTGATACGTGTCGAGTGGTCCCCTCTTACTTGGTGTCCTCTGTGCAGCAGTGGGGGGTGTGCAGGACCCCTTGTCCCTGGGACTTGGGAGTCTGGGGGGGCAGTGTGGTGCTTGGCCGAGGTGTTCCCTGGGGCCTGTGCACTGTTCCTGCCACTGACCTGCGGTGGGAACCAGCAGCATCTCAGCTTTGGCTCACCCAGGGGAATCTTTGGGGAAGTTTGGAAGTGTTATGACAGGGAGTAAGAGGTTTTCTTTGTCAGAGGCTGGACAGTAAAGGCACGCAGCAATGACACATATATTTAATAAGGACACCAAGAGATGGAAGCCTGGGAGAAAGGATTGCTGCAGGGAGGTTATTTGAGATGCTCCACAGTGAGGAATGAGCCCTTTGAAGCACCCGACAGAGGCTGGTGTCAGAGGCAGCCAGACCAGATGGACGGGTCTGCTCTGCCCCAGAGGCCTCTCTGCTCATGCAGAGGCATTCCCGGCTCTCAGAGCTGGGTGATGATTCACAGGGAAGCACCGGTCCACGGGCTCAGCCTGCCACGTGAACTCTTGGTCTGGTCAGCAAGGGCCAGCAACACCTCTCTGCAATGGGCTGGGCTGGTTTCACACCAGGACAGTTGTCTGCCCTTTCCCAGGTCATCCCTGGGACCTGCTGCCAGGAGTGGGGTGAGCCAGTTGGGGTTCTGGGGAGCTGCCAGCGATGCTGCTGCCAATGACAGATCTGCTGCCAGAGCCCCGGACATTCCTCGCTGTGCATCAGAAACATTATCCTCCTCTCTCTAGCAAGTGTGTGGGAGCTGATGAATTTGGGCGTGGGAGCCCTCATTAGGGGGAAAGTTCCTGAGGGAAAGTTCCCGAGGGAGGCCAGCAAGGTTGATTTCTGCGGGAACTGCCGGCTGTTATTTTTAAACAACAATAGTTTAATAAATAAATAAACTTGCTGCCACGGAAGGATATCGCATCAGCCAGGGCTGTTGAGGCCGGTATTTCCTTGGAAAATGGAAGGGGCAGGTGTGTCCCTTCCCTCTGCCCCTGTCTCCCTCTGTCTGGTTCCTTGGCACTGGGAAGCCCCCTTCCTTAGGCAAGGCTTCCCAAGGCGGGTGAGCCTTCCCAGTGGGAGCCACTCTTCCTGGGGGGAGTGAGGATTCCTGGGAGCTGCTTGCATCCCAGGGCAGTTGCCAGCCAGCGTGGGGTCTTCTCTGGCACGTCCAGAGTGGAAGGAATCTGCGTCCTGCCGTCTGTGTGACAGCACAGGTGCAGCCCAATAAATGTGAGATGAACTGGGGGGGATCGGGTTTCACAGTCCACTGCCCCTCGCGTGGGGGGTTCCTGTGGCAAGGGGGCAGCAGGGCAGCCCGGGGGGGGGGATGACAGCGATGTGCCCCGGCCCCGACTTTGGGCAGAAATAGGTGAATTTGTGAGTTCGCGTGGGAAAGGAGAAGAGAGGCGGCTGTCGGCCCCGGCCGGGCGGGGAAGGGGTTCGGGGACGCTGCCCCGCATCCCCCCCAGCCTCCATCCCCGCGGCCGGGGGGTCCGGCGGAGGCAGCGGGGGGGCCCGGGGGCCGGTCCCTCCCGGCGGGCGGTGCCGGGGGCGGGCGCTCCCCGCCGCCAGTAGCGCGGTGCGGGGGCGGGCGGCCCGAGCGGAGCGGGGCGCGATGGGGGCGGCGGCGCGGCCGCAGTGAGCCCGGCGGGGAGCGGAGCGGAGCGGGGAGAGGAGCGGGGAGCGGCGCCGATGGCGTTCAGCGCCTGGCAGATCCTCTCGCCGGTGCAGTGGGCCCGGTGGACCTGGTCGGCGGTGCGGGGCGGGGGCAGCCCCGAGGAGGGGGACGGCGGGGCCGGTGCGGCCGAGGAGGAGGAGGAGGAGGAGGAGGACCAGGACCCTCCGGCGGGGGGCTCGGCCCTCAGCTTCAGGCAAGTGACCCGCGGCCCCCTCCCCTGCCGCTGCCCGCCCGTACCCACGCGGGACGCCCACACGCGGCGTACGGGGCTGCGGGCGCGTCCCCCCGGCCCTCTCTCCCCACCCGCCTCTCGCTGCCCGCTCGCTGCCTGGCTGCCGGGGATCCCGCATCGCACCGCGCCGGGGGGCTGGGGAGGCCGGGCCGGAGCCGGGCGCTGCTTCTCGGAGGATGCCGGGGGGGCACAGGGTCGGGACGGCTGGGCTTCTTCCCGCGGCAGCCCCCGGAGCGGCGGGGGAGATGCTGCGGGGGAAGACGCTGCGAGGCTGCGTGTCCTAGGAGGCCCGCGGTGGATGCTCAGCTCGGGAATGACCCGGCAGACGCCCTCCCGGAGGTCTGGGGGCACGCGGGGGCTGCTCACGATGATGTTTCACCTGCTCTCCCCTTTCCGTTTGTCAGCGTGTCCCGCCGGACAGGAGCGAGCGGCCGCCCCGGATGCCCACGGCCCTGCCGGCCTGGCCGCACGTGTAGGCGGCGTGGAGGATTTCGGAGGTAGCCTTGAAAGCAGTAATTCCTCACTCTTTTCCCCCCCCTCGGCAGCTCGGACTCCACTGATAATTTTGAGACCCCTGAAGCAGAAACGCCGACCTGCTCGCCACTAAAGGAGTTCTGCGAGCCGCCGGGATCAGCAGAGCCCGAGGTCGGGACCCCAGGTAAAGAGCCGGCGTGTGCCTTCTGCTCTCGGTGCTGCACTCCAGAGGCTGAAAGGCAGGGTGGGGTCAAGGAGGCAAAGTTGCTGGCTTTGAATAACGCCTGCCACATTTTTTGTGGTTAATGGCCTGGACGGTTCAAATGCCGGGGCGGGGCTGGGTGCTCCACAAAGGGTGTGATGAGTTGATCGAGAGGAGCCCGAGGATGTTGTTAAATCATTTTGGCAGTTAAACATCCCTCTGCCAACTCTGCCCGCAGCCTGGGGGCTGCCCCCATGCTCCTGGCCGGTGGGAGCTGCCTCAGGTGTGCCCCTGGCTCTCGCACAGGAGCTGCCGTGGTGCTGGATTTGTGTCCCCCAGGCTGGTCAGTGGTGGGGGTTTCATTACATGGTCCATTTTTCCCTGGAGTTAGGTGCCAGGTGCCCTTCCTCTGTGGCTGTTGTTAAACATGAGAAAGCTCAATGCTGCTAAGCCCCGTTTTTGGAGAAATTGTGGGGGATCTGCTGTAAACACGTGGGGTTTTCTCTGCCAGTGGTCCCGAGCTGTTGTAGGTTTATCCTTGTGTCCCACACTGCTGCTGCTCCCCTGAGTTGGCTCCCCATTAGCCTGTGGTCTTTTGGGGTCCACCTGCCCGCTGTCTCTGTACCCTCCTCTCCAGGGGGACGTGCTGGTGCCCGTGGCTGAGCTCGGTGTTTATCTCTGTTTTCATGCTGGGAGGAAGCTTTGAAGCTCCACCACCAGCACTGTTGCAACAACCACTGGAGGTTATCGGGGCAGGGCAGGGAGGAGACCTCCCCTTCCCTCTGTTCTCAGCAGGGCAGGGTGGCTGGGCAGTGTCAGGGTGTCTGTTAGCCCCCAGGGGGTCTGGGGGAGAGAAGCTTTTGCAGGGTGTGAGGCAGCACATGGTGGGCCTGGAAGTTCAGCACAGGCTGTCCTGGGCATCCCCTGCCCTCTCCTGCCTCTCACTGCTGTGGGCCCTGGCATGCCACGTGCAGTGTGCTCGCAGCAGTGGCTGGGAGCTTTCTGTAGGGCTGGTTTTGGAGCATGTGGGTTTGATCCAGACCCTGGGTCATTCCGTGCAGGAGCCCAGGTGCTGTAGATCGTGGCAGTAACGGGGTGCCATGGCTCACCATCTCCTGTGATGTTGTTCTGCTGATGGGATGGATCTGGGTGCTCACCCACCCCTGTGGAAAACACAGGTTTGTTTGCTGTGATGGAGAGAGCATTCAGTTCATGCTTCCGATGATCACAGCTCTTGGAATAATCCTTCCCTTTTAAGAGGGGATGATAGAGGCATCTTTACTTTGGGGATAATGTCTGGGGAGGGGGAGAAGGAGATAAGGCTTTCCTAGAAGGTAGGAGGATATTTTCTGCCAAAGCTCAGGGAAGTACATTGCCTCCTTGTCCAGGGTGTCCCTGTCCCTGTGTGTGCCTGTGCCCCTCGTCCTGGGACGAGCAGCTCCTGCTCAGCAGCGAGGGAGAGGCTGCTCCTGCACACAAAGCTCCCAGTGTTGTGGAGCCGAGGGGATGATCTCCAGCAAAAGCTGTTTTTCTGTGCTGGCTGGTGGAGAGCAGGATGTTGGAACCAGCAGAGCCAAACTGTGGTGCCACCGCACCCGGCTCTGGCCCCTTCCTGCCCACATTTCTGGCTGCGGCTCTTCAGTGTCTCTGGAATGGTGGAGGGAAGGGATTGCCCAGATGCAGATGGGTTTGCAGTGTGCAGAGGCACCCCGGGGTGTTCCACCACCTTACCAGTGTAATCTGTACATTAAGGCCTCATCTTTGTGATGCTGCATCACAGCAGCCCGTGCTCTTCCATCTGGCTGCAGCTCGGGAGCAGCAGTGGGAATAAATGCCTGGATGGAGGCAACCCAGTGTAATGGCTGCTCGTCTGCACCGAGGCAGCTGAGCTGTCACCCACAGCAAGAGCCACTGCCCTGCAGCCCCTGGGGAATAGCTGCTGGCCACGCTGGGGTGCGTGGGGGCAGTGCCAGAGCAGGACCTGCGGGCAGGCGCGGCATTCCCGGCCCGGAGGGACAGCGAGGAGCAGGCACTGTCTGCTGTGCAGCTGCAGTCTCACCCTGCCTTGGGAACAGATGGGTGAGGCAATGTGTAAGACAGAAGCAGTGACTCCAGGGCTGGCTGCTCCTTACACAGCCAAGAGGTGACCTGGGTGCGTTAACCCCTGGTCTTGGGGACAAAAATCCAGCCCCAGAGGGGGCTGCAGGGAGGCTTTATGCCCACTCAGGATCACTCACAGTTTCCTCTTGCTGCCTCTCGTGGTGGGGGCTGTAATTCTGTCCCGTTCTTGCTCAGGTTATCCCCGGTCACCTGCCAGCAGGTATTTTGCACGAGGAAATGAGCAGAAGCAGCAGGTCTGGAGCTGTCAGTGCTGGGAGCGGGCTCGCTGGCTCTCGCTGCCGTCACCCCGACACGGGGCACGTGTTTTCCGGTGCGTTCGCGGCAGCAGCAGCGTTTGCCGGTATGCTAATTCTTAACAGAATGGGTTTAAAAATAGATCAACGGCTGTTAAACACGAGCGGAAAGCCAAAAGAGGAAAGGAGTCGTTGGTGACGAGGGCTGAGCTGGATGCAGGGGCAGATATCCTGTGCTGGGCCGGGGGAGTGTGTGACTCACGGCGGGCACCGCGCCTGGGCCCAGTCCGGGGCTCGGAGAGTGGAGGGGCTGTTCCTGCCCACGCCTGGCTCGTGGGGCTGCACAGGGATCGCTGCTGCTTCGCTCGTGGGGCTGCACAGGGATCGCTGCTGCTTCGCTCGTGGGGCTGCACAGGGATCGCTGCTGCTTCGCTCGTGGGGCTGCACAGGGATCGCTGCTGCTTCGCTCGTGGGGCTGCACAGGGATCGCTGCTGCTTCGCTTGGCAGCTGCCCGTGGGATGGAGAGGGCGCCGAGCCTTTGCCTTGCGGCGCTGCCGCGTGTTCCTGGTTCGTTTGAGGGAGCGAGGGATGGCTCCCTCTCAGCTGGAAAGCTGTTTAAGTCGGTGTTTGTGTTTAATTTCAGCCCAAGGAAGACAAGCAAAGCAATTATAGTGCACAGGCACAAAGTGCCTATTACTGCGGTGCCAGACTGTCCTGACTGTTTTTCTTTAAAGAATATAAAATCTTCATTTTCACTTTGTGGCATCCCCTCCAGGTACCTGCCTGGACCAGGAGCAGGTTTGCAGCCCACACACAGCTGGGACAATGGTTGTTCTTGGGGATCCAGCATGTCCTGTGCTGGGTCTGTGTTTGGGACAGGTCCCAGGATCACTGTGTGTGCCATGCTGCTGGCAGTGTCCATCTGTAGCTGGGACTAAACTGCCTCCACCTGCCAGGCACCGTGCCAGAGGTGGAACGGGAGAGCCCAGGGTCACCTTTAAAGGATGCTGCAGGAAGGCATCTGCTGGGATGCCTGTGGAAAGGGCTGGTCCGAGGGGGAGAGCTGTGTGTTGTGGGTGGCTGCCAGGCTGCCTTCTCCAGGGGTCCCGTGGGGCATTCAGCACAGGTTTGGACCAAAAGGAGGGTTCGAGCAGTGACAGGGCTGGGGAGCAGCAGCCGGAACTGAGGGACACTGGTTGTTTCAGGAGCTGGTTTGCAGGCAGGAGCCGTGAGTGCAGGGAGTACGTGCGGAGCCAACACGGCTGCTCACAACGTGACTGCCCGGGGCTGGCGGGAGCTGCACTCGCTTCAGGATGTCGGAGCATTCATAGGAGGAGCAGGGAGAGCCACAGGCAGCGTGCTGGGGCTGGGGAGGGCTCTGTGGGGGGCCGGTGCTGCACCGAGGTATCGCTGTGCTCGTCCCCAGCACTGCCAGGCAGCGGCGGGGGCTGGAGCGCAGAGCTCTGCTCTTCCCAAGCCCCCCGAGGCCCTTCAGGTCACCGGGTTCTGCATCCTGTGTAATTGTTCCCGCAGGAACCTGTGCTCCCATCGTGCTGCGTTGAAGGCAGAGGAAATGCAGAGGGGGAGGAATGGAGGGAAAACTCCCCCGAGCTCGCAGGAGGGATGTTTCTGCTGCAAAAGGTTTCCAAAATCATAGGCAAGCACCTGAGCTGCTCTTCGCCCACACCTCCCAGTATATCCCAGTTCCTCAGCTCCCGGACTGGCTGAGTGGATGGGCTGTTCTGTGGGAGGGGATGGAGCAGCCGAGCTCTCTCAGGTGCAGAAAACAGGGAATCACGAAACTGGAAAAGCTGGGTGGGTGGTTCTTCTGATTTTTATGACAAAATGGTCGTTCTGAGCAATGGCCACATGTGCCATCGCTCCTTCCCTCCCCGCCCTGCAGACACCACAGCACAGGGAGGTGGTTTGCGTGCCGACTGCTTGTTATTCAAGAAGTAATTACTCATTGCTTGGGTTAGAAACCAGGATGGGCTCATGTCTGTGAGAACGGCGGCTGCCAAACCTTCCGCTGGGAACGCAAAATGCACTTAAAAGGTCCTTTTGCCCCGACTTTGAAGTCTGTTCTTCTGTTCAGGGCTGTCTCAGGAAGGCTTCAAACATCTGAGCAACACAGCAAGTGTAATGGAGTTTTCTTTGGGGTCTGTTAAGAAAGTTTTCCTGGTTCCTAATGATGGGAAGGCCTGGCAGGCGCTGCCTTGGACTGGCTGCACTCCAAGTACTCATCCACTAGATTTGTGTTTACTGATGCGTTTTCTGGGGCATCAAGGCAACATCTACTTGGAGGGAGCTTTTTTTGCAGTCAGAGGGAGCGTTTTTGCAGTCTCAGGGAGCACACAGACCCTCATGATTCATTTCCATGGCTTTTAGCATCCTGGGGATCAATTATGCAAACCACGAGCCATCAGCTGAGTCAGGATCGTTGGCTCCATGTCCCGGGTTAGCCTCGGGACCAGATATTTGCCTGATGCACTCTGCCAGGCTGTGACTCTGTCACCAGCAAACACGAGCTGGTTGCAAATGCCTGGTGATAGGAAAAGCCTTTCCCAGGAGATGAGCTCAGGGCTGGGGGTTGGCATTCCCTGGCACAAGCTCTCCATTATCCAGGCTGCTCTTCACAGCCAGGTTTTCAAACCAGTTTGGTCCTTGGGTGAGCACTGGTTCCATCCTGCCCTTGGAGGGTTCAGCTGGACTGTGCCTCCCCAGAAAGGTGCCCGTGAGAGCTGTGGGTCCTACACACTCCCTGATGGGTGCTGGGCACCCCATTCTGCCTCATCACAGGAGCCTGGGCAATGGTCCCTGGTTGGGGTGCAGGGGAAGAGGTGCAGGTGAGCTGGGCAGAGCCTTGGCACACCAGCACCACCGTCCTGGCTCTGGGAGCTCAGTGGGTGCAGCTTTCAGGATGCCTCAGTAGATAAAGGATCTTTCCCCCATCCCTTGATAGCAAAGAAAAGATTAAACAGTAAAAGGATTGAGGGGAAGGGATCAGAGTAATAGTGATTAAGTCATGGATCAGGATTTGTGATTAGGAGATGCTGACAGCAGTGTGGAGAGCCTGCCGTGACTGCAGCAGGATTTCTGCAGGTGAAGTCAGTTTGCATCTGGCAGCTTCCCCCTGCCTGGTGCACACCCAACTCTGCAGCCCCAGTACCGGGGGGGTGACCCTCAAATCCCCCCCGCAGCCCGTTTCTGCTTCTTCTTGAGCACACCATTCCATTCCCCTTCTCCCTGGGGCCTGCTTATTCACATTTCATGGTGCTCTCTCATGTTGTGCTTCCCTAAACACTCCTTGCTAATTTTTAACTCTCTGCTCAGGTGAGAAGTGACTCTCTGTCATCTGGCAGGAGGGAAGCTGAGTTTTGAGTCAGTGGATTCTCCACAAAATCCGAACCTGGAGCAGCTGTGAGGAGGGGACAGAAGCCCTCCTGGAAGGGGGTGCACTGCAGGTCGAGGTTTAACCATCTCCTTTTATTTTTCAGAGCCAGGTGACCATGGTGACCTGCTGGTAGGGGAAGCCTGCCCGGACGGCTCTCCTGGGAAGCACCCCAAAGATGAGGCTCAACCGGAGACCGGAGCCCCCAAAGCCAGCTCAGATGCTGAAGGGGACACTGACCCCGACAACTCACCCCTGACACAGCCTCTGGCCGGGCAGGGCTGCAGGGTCAACTCTGTGCCCACTGCAGAGCCAGCCCTGGTGCCCCATGTGGGCACAGCCCCCGGGGAGTGGGTCATGTCAGGAGGGGACGTGGCAGACGCTGGCACGGGGCTGGTGGAGCTGAGGGCTGATGCCCTGGCCCAGGACCAGCTTGGGAAAGGGAAAACACCTTCGCTGGGGAGGAAAACAGAAGGAGCCACAGAGGAGACCCCGATGCCCCAAACATCCTACCAGCTTGAGCCTGAGCAGTGCGACAGGAGCGTGAACCCCGCTGGGGCAGGGAACTGCCAGCTGCAGAGCTCTCCCCTGGCAGCCCCATGCCATCTCCCCCATCCCAGAGAGCTGGGGGGGGACCCAGCCCCAGAGCCCACAGGGCAGGTCCCAAACCCTGAGGCTGGTTTTACGGAGGTGGGAGAGAGCACAGAGGCCAGGAGAGCTTCACCCAGGAGGGGCAGCAGGATCCCGGCCAGCAAGCTGACACCAAAGAGACACCGAGAGTCCCCCAAGAAACCAGCTGAGGATGCAGAGAGGGGTCCCATGGAGCCACCACCACCCCGGGACTCCCCCCAGCTGGGTCCTGGTCACAACTCCCTCAGTGGCAGCTCAGCACTGCAAAACTTACCAACTCTCCCCAAGGGCTCTTACCAGTTTGACCCCGATAACTTTGACTCTGTGGATCCATTCAAGCCCACCAAGACACTCGCCAGCACTGCCCCCGACTCCTGCTCTGCTGCAGATAACAGCCTCAACGAGATCCTCGAGTCTCAGACACTGGAGGCGCAGGACGATCCCCTGAAAGGCAGAGACTCCCCCAAGAAGCCCAAGTCACGCCTGATAACGTGAGTGCTGGTGTGCATGGAGCCGGTGCTGCGGCCCCCTGAGCAGGCAGAGCCGTGGTGATGGTGGTGGTGATGGTGGTGATGGTGCTGGTGGTTATGGTGCTGGTGGTGGTTCTGCTCCGGTGCCTTCTGAGCAAGCCCAAAATCCCACTGTGCCCCTCAGGTTCTGCTGCTGCCCCTGTTTAATCCGCCCCTTGTCCTGGCGGAGGGACAGGTCCCCTCTCCCTGTTGTGAGGAGAGGGACAAGTGTCCTGCAGGGGTGCCAGTGTCCTGAGCCCTGGGCAGAGTGGGGAAGGCTGGACTGGGACCTGCTTGCAGGATCACCTCTTTGGAAACCCCTCGGGAGTCCAGCTGGTGGGTGCATGTGTGGTGTCAGAGGAAACCTGCAGTGGAGGCTGGAGCCAGTGGGTTTGCCGGCTCACAGGAGCTGCTGGACACGGGTGTGTCATTGGTCAGGTGTTGCTGGGACACTGTGTGAGCTGCCACTGGATTTCTGTGTTATTTCAGGGGAAGAAAACAGGTTGGACAGGCAGACTGTTACCCTGCCGTCCGATTCTCTGGTGGGAAAACTAGAGAGTGGGTTTTTACAGAGAGAGAGAAGCCTTGCGGGCAGAAATCAGGCTGTGTTGGATGTTTTTGTCCTGGAAATACTTTGCAGAGAGTGGATACAAATTTTCTGAGAGCTGGTGTTCCCACATGTGGCTGCGGGCGAGCAGAGCTGACAGGGAGGGGAAGCAGCAGGGAATTCTCTGCTCCCTCTCCATCCCTTTGGAGCAGTGTGGGCAGCTCTGGGTGCTCAGCGCCCTGGCAGTGAGGTTTGTGGTTGGATCTCACCCCGCTGCTGTGGAGAGCAAATGCAGGATCAGAGCATCCCGTGTGTGTGTGCCTTCCCAAAGACTGAGCTGGGCAGCTCACTGTGCTTCTCCAGAGCAGAGTTAACATCCAGGTCTTTTCACACGCTCTTCTTCTCTCCATCTGTCCGTCTCTCTCCCTGTCCGTGCTTTGGTGCGTCAGGACTACTGAGCAAGTGAAATTTCTCTGTTTTCTGTTGTAAGTACTCTCTCCTGTATTCCTTTCCTTTTCCTTTGCTGTTTTTGTCCTCTCCCTGGGTGTGTGCTGGCCCAGTTGTCTCCATGGCATGCCGGCTCCTTCTGCCCCTTGACTTGTGCTCTCTGCTGTCTGGTTTGTGTCCCGCACCCCTCGGCCGGGTCCCCGGGGCAGCTTAGCCTGGCAAGTGCCTGGGAGTGAGGGAGGAGAGGAGAGCTGAGCTGAGCTGCACCAGAGGCCTGTGCTTGCCCTCACAGCATGCACCTTGCAGCATCTTTTGGTGGTGGACAAGTGCTCACAACCTTCAGCTGGTGGAGGGGGAGCAGGTTTGTGTGCAATCCAGAGCTGCTGTCTTGGTGCTGGGGGGGACTCAAAGCAGCCACCAGGCGATGTGATAACCGTGGCGCAGGAGAGGGCGCAGGGCAGAGCGAGTTTGGCTGCTTGCAGCAGGGCATGAGGGAGGAGAGCAGCCCAGGTGATTCCTCGGTGAGAGCCAGGAGTGCATGGCAGCGTGCAGAGGAACCTCGTGGGCCGTGCCACGCCGCTCGCTGTGCTCTGCTGCGCTTGTGTGCGAGGGGGAGGCTGGAGAGTGCAGTGGGTGGGGGTCATTCCCTAAACCTGGGAACAGCTCAAGCCTCTGACCGTGTCCCCACGATGGGGAGCGCAGTGTCTGGGGGCCAGGATCCCTCCCCGGGTCCCTGCAGTGGCTGTCACAGGAGCTGTTCTGGCTCAGCAAGTGGCTCCCAGGTGGTCAGACGTGACCACGAGCCTGGGAGATCACTGAGTGTGCACTGAGAGGGGATGAGACGCAGGAGGAGAGCTTGTGTTCTGCCACCCACATTCCCACTGGGACTGTCCCTCCGCTGCCTGGCGCTCGCTCAAGGTGCTGATGCCCGGTGTGTTGGGATACAGCTCTGCCTGCAGTCCTGCGCAGGCGGCCTCCGGATGGGTGTCTTGAGGAATGTGGGATGAAGTTCCAGGGAAAGCTTCCTCGCTGGAGGGCAAGGGGACCACCTGCAAGACCCACCTGGGCTAAACTTCCCACCCACAAGGCCCTTCTCCATGGGACAGTGTTTGCTTCAGGTGGAGTGTTCATTCGAGGCACGGCGCATTGCCCCAGTGCTCTCCCACCCTCTGCCCCGGCTGCACGGGTCTGACTCACTTGGGAGACGTGTGGATGCCGTGGAGAAGTCCCAGACAAACCTGCAGCTGCAGGGACAGCCTGGAAATGGTTCTTCCTGCAGAAAATCAACACACACTGAGGCCTCGGGTGCCGTTGCACTGGATGCACGGGGCGAGGGTGCAGCGAGGGAAATCCTTCTCCTCGGCAGTCGCCTCTCTCGCCGCCGGCCCCTCGGGGTCCTTGCTCCGCTCCTTACCTTCCTCAGGAATAAACACCTCACAGACAAACCCAACCGCTCTGTAGTTGTGTCTTTTGTTTGCCTGTTCCTTCTGTTCCTTCCAGAACTTGCTCTGCCTCGGTGTTCACGGGTGAGTGGGGTGCTGGCACGTGGCGGGTGCAACGCTGGCGCTGGGGCTGCCTCCCCCTGCTTGGGCTGTCCCGCACACGCCCCCGCCTGCCCCAAACCCCCCCAGCCCCCCTCAGCCGCTGCTTCTCTCCCCCACAGGAGCGGCTGCAAGGTGAAGCAGTACGAGGCAAAGCCCCTGGTCCTGGATGCCAGCACTCAGGTATGTGGGGTCCCGGCCCCGGAGCTGCATCTTCTCCATGGGCAGGTCCTGGTGGGAAGGGAGGGAGGAGGGCTGGTGGGGAGCAGCTTGTTGGTGGATTTTAAGCCTTCCATGCTTCCCATGGAGTATCCAGCAGCTCCTCCTGTGGCCTGATCCCCCTGGATTTGCCCAGTCCTGCTTAACTGCGCACCTTGATCATGCAGGAGGAAGGAGTGCTGATCTCAGAAATCCCAGATATTGCAAACAGGGATGGACGTGCCACTGATGAGGAGAAGCTGGCCTCCACCACCTCCGTGCAGAAACTGGCCGGGCTGGACAAGAAGGCTGAGCCAGAAGATGACCTGGAGTACTTTGAGTGCTCGAATGTCCCTGTGCCCGCGGCAAAGCAGAGACCGGAGGCAGGTAAGGAACAGCCCCTCTGGGAATGCACCCTGCCTTTACCCAGGGAACCTGCCCTGTCCCCCAGGCTGCAGGATCCCTGCTCAGAGGCTGTGCCAGGAGCAGAGCTGCCAGGACTCAGTGTCCTGGCACAGGAGCTGTGGTTGATGGAGATCTCAGTGATGTTACAGAGACCCCGCTATTGCTCCTGGAGGAATTCCACTGCCAGTCTCCCATGTAATTAGCCTCTCTGACCAAGCCATTACAAAATAATTAAAAGCCAGGCAACATGACATTTAATCAATAGCCAAGCCCTAGGTGCAAGCAGGAGAGATCACCGCAGGAGGTTTGCAGCCCTCCCCTCTGCAGGGACCCATTAATCATTTCTCCTGTGGCTGTGCTGCTCTGCCAGCTCCAGGGAGAGGAGAATGGTCCTTTGTCCTCAAGGGAGGAAAACCTGACAGCCAAGAGAGAGGCTGGGAGGGTTTATTTATTGCTGTTGATCTCAGAGGGCCAGGCAGGTGCATGGGCTGGATGTTGGCTGCAGGAACAGGGTGGGAGCTGTGGATGCAGCCACTGACCAGGGCACAGGGATAAATGGAGGGAAACAGTGGGAAATCTGCAGTCACCAGCATTTTGTTACCTCCTTCCTTTCTGAGCTGGGCTCTCGAAATACATTGTTCTCTGCCCAGTCAACATCTGAACCATGTCTGCAGTTGCGTGAGTGAGGTCCATAAATTACCCCTCGTGCTGTGTGAGGCAGCACCATGGCCACAGGGCAGGGTGTCCCTCCTTCGGGGCAGGGTGTCCCACAGGACAGGGTGTCCCACGCATTGCAGACAGGAGGAGACATTTTTTATCTCCTCTCTGCTGCCAAGAACAGCAGGGGCCTTGTGGCAGCTCCTTTGGAGGGTGTTGGGACCAGCTGGCTTGGGCTGAGGCTCGTGCTGTTCAGAGTGGTCTGAGCAGCTGGTCCAGCCCAGGGATGCATCCTGCCCAAGTGCAGAATGTCTCGTGCATCTTCCCCCTCCTCAGCCACTGTGGTCTCAGGGAAGGACTGCCATGGGTGGCAGCCATGGGGACATGGGCACAGGCTGGACTGCCACCAGAGGGGAGTGTTGGTTTCCAGTCCAGGGAGTGCAGGAAGGTTGGCAGGGTGCAGGATGTGGCACTTGGGGACAGGGTTTAATGGTGACCTTGGTTGTGCTGGGGGAATGGTTGGAAAAGTCCTCAATGGTCTTAGAGGACTTTTCCAATGAGAACAATTCCATGCAGGAGCTGGGGGCAAAGAAGCCTTTGGGAGGGGAAGCTCAGGGGATGGAGAGGCTCAGGGGTACCCTCCTGCCCCCCAGAAAATCTGCACGTGCCCGAGGGTCCTGTTTCCAAGTCAATAAAAGGTTGTGTTTCCTTGTCTTTAGGCTTTGAAAAGGAGATCTGCAAGCAGATGGAAAAGGACGGGCCTGGCATCTTCCCTGTGAGTGCCTCTCGCTTCCTCCTCTCTGAAATGAGTTTCTTTGGGAGGTAAAATTCTTGACAAGCCCACGCAGGGACTCGATAAAAATAGCGGAGATTTCCTGGCAGGCCTGGAGGAGCCTGGCACAGGCTGATCCCTCCTGGGTGGGCGCTGGGGGGTGGGAGGGAGGGAGGGAGGGAGCGATGCTGGGGATGGGTAGGGCTGGTGCAGAGCCAGGGCTGCACTGGGGAATGGCTGAAGGACAGGGAGGGGGCAGAGGAGACCACGGGGAGGGGACAAGCTGCTGGACACGGACTGTGACTCACGTGGAGTGTCCAGGGCTGGCTCTGATGGCCTGTCTGTGCCAGTGCTTTCTCCATGGGATCCTCAACCGCTGTGCTTGGGAAGGCAGCCAACAGCAGAGATGGGGGATTAATGAAGAAGCCCTGGCTTTGCAGCCCCCCTGACCCTGGCACCCCCACAGTGGCAGCTCTGTGCAGGGGTACCCCCGACATGCCCCAAGGAGCCCCAAGACTCCTCCACTGCTGGGGGACCCAGTGCCAGATTAGCTGTCCCTGGCCAAAGCTGCTCGAGGTGACAAGCAGATGACAATGAGATTAGCAACATCAGCAGAACCAGCTTCTCTGAGACAGATTTAACTGTGCTGAGCCCCACAAGGACATCAGGCAAAGTGAACCATTTGTTCTGTGCCCTGGGCAGTGTGGTCAGGCCTCAGTCCCACAGACAAACTGGTTCCCAAAGGCACCTGCAGGTGCTCAGGTGTGCACCTGCTTTTGGGAGATGCTGTGGGAGGTGACTGCCAAACCACACCAGGCTGAACCTCCTCAGTGTTGGGGTGCCTGGACCCCAAACTGCCCCCATGGGTGGTCCTGGGGGACTCCCACCACTGGCCATGGCTGCAGCAGGGCTGGGAGGGCCACGAGGGGCTGGGTGTGCTTGGACTGAGCAGCAGCCAAAGCTCTGGGGAGGAGGGAAGGGGAGAAGTGCTCCAGTGCTCTGGTTTCCAAACCACGAGGAGCAGGCTGCCTCCTTCCTCGGAGCACTTCTCTATTTATGGCCTGGCAGCCCGTTCCCAAGGAGATGACTGCACTGACTGCACGGCTGTCACTCGGCTGGGTGATGAAAGCAGGAACAGGCGTGGTGTCAGCCCAGCTTGGAGGAATGTTTCTGGAGACCTGTCAGGCTGCAGGACCCCCTGGGGGAAGTGATGGGGCCAGAATCCAGGCGGGAATTGGTGCCTGGGCCACAGGGCTGAGGCTTCCCCCCAGTTTGGTCTCTGTGGCTGCAGCACTGGTGCACAGGAGGTGCTCAGGAGCTGGGCTCTGGGAGGGGAAAGCAGTGAATGATATGGGTACAACCACCCCAGCCCCTGTAGGGGCACCCATAATGGCAACAGGCTCTGGGTTGTCCATGTGTGCAGGAAGGGAAGTTCAGTGCCTGACCAGAGGCTGGTAAAATAGGGGAGAACACTCCAAACAGGGGAGGTGGGGTGAAAAGACACTTCCCGTGGCATCCCAGCTGGGTGATTCCCCCAGGACAATCCCGGGCTGTGCCCCACGGAAAAGTGCCCCAGTGTGAGCAGGAGCGAGGGTCCCCTGGACGGCATCTGCCTCAGCGAGTCCGAGAAGACGGCCGTGCTCACGCTCATCAGGGAGGAGGTAACAGCCAGGTCCCCCTTCCCCGGGGCTGCCCCTCCCCAGACCCCAACCCAGCCACTGCCGTGGGGGGAACAGGGGCAGCACCGCTCTGCCCTGGGGGGGTTCTGGTCCCCTGCATGGGGAAATCCCCCTGAGCACATCCCGTGTCTGCTGCCACCCAGATAATCACCAAGGAGATCGAGGCCAACGAGTGGAAGAAGAAATACGAGGAGAGCCGGCAGGAAGTGCTGGAGATGAGGTAGGGACCATCCCCTCCACGTGTGCTCCTGCCCCTGGCTCCGGGGCTCCGGGCATTCCCGGCGGGGGGAGGCTGGGTGGGATGTGATGGGATGACACGGGATCAGCATCGCCAGGGTGGGATGTCTCGGGAGAGATGTTCTCTTTGTGCCGGTGCCGTGTCGAGCCTGCTCGTTCCTTTGTTGTGGGAATAAAAGCCCATTAGCTGTGCCAGCCCCGGTGGCAGCAGCAGAGGGGGGTCTCAGCCTGGAGCAGCAGTGATGGGGTCACAGCCCCGACATCTGGGCCCTGTGGCCACGCTGCTTTGGGGCTGTGGTGGTGCTGGGGGCCCCCATGGGGCAGGTTGATGCCAGCAGAGCTGGAGGTGTGTGTCCACAAAAAACTGCAGCCTCTCACCTGCCTTTTTTCTTTCTTCCTTCCAGGAAAATCGTGGCTGAGTATGAGAAGACCATTGCCCAGATGATAGGTACTGTGCTGTCCCCTGACCAAGGGTGTGGGGCAGGGAGTGGCTGCCACAGCCATCCCTGCACGGTCACTGTGTCCTTGTTGTTTGTTCTCCACCACAGAGGATGAGCAGAGGACCAACATGACATCTCAGAAGAATCTGCAGCAGCTCACGATGGAAAAGGACCAGGCTCTGGCAGACCTGAACTCGGTGGAGAGGTCCCTGTCGGATCTGTTCAGGAGATATGAAAATCTGAAGGGTGTCCTGGAAGGCTTTAAGAAGGTCCTTACCTTGGGTTCCCCTCTGTCCCTGCAGCCCTGGTCCCTGGACACAGGGTTGCCATAAAGCCACACTCCATCTTTCCGTGCTGCTGAGCTGGATAAGGGGCTCCAGCATAAGGCAGAAGCTGTTTCTATTTAAAGCCTTTATTTTTACACTCAGAACAGGATCTATCATCCCATCAGAGCAAATGTCTCTGTGCCCAGTCCCAATGTAGATGGATGTACTTTCTTTTCCAGAATGAAGAAGCTCTGAAGAAATGTGCTCAAGATTATCTCACCCGGGTCAAGCAGGAAGAGCAGCGGTATCAGGCCCTGAAAGTCCATGCAGAAGAAAAATTGGACAAGTAAGGTCATGCATGAGATTGCTGGGTGCTTCAATACCTGTAGGGCAGCAGCTCCACTCACTTTTCAGAGGCTGGAAGGCAGGAGCTGAACGGTGTGAAAAGCTGCATTTTACAACCTCAGGCTCAAGTGACTCTTAAGTAAGGCAGCACAAATCCCTGAATGCGTTCTCTGATCTCCACTTATTTATTTTTTAATGGAGAATCTGAGGTTCACGGTCTATTTACAGTCACTTACCAAGTTCCCCTGTTTCAGAGAGCTCCTGTTTGTGGTGTGCAAAGAGGCCACACGGCCCCAGGGCTCAGCTGATGAGCAGGAGCTCACCAGCACATTGTAGCCCTGAACCAAGTTGGTGAGGAACTGGTTTAGTTCCGCTCTGAGAGAGCAGAGTTTCATACAGGAGCTTAGGGGAGCTGAATTAATCCAGTTTCATCCACTTTCCACATGGGAAAGCCACCTCTGGTGCATCCAGGAGGATGCGAGCAGGAACCGGGCTCTGCTGATGCCTCAGGCTGTGCCGTGGTGCTCCTGCCTGTGCCCAGAGCCGAGCAGCATCCCCCTCTCTCCATCCCCTGCAGAGCCAACGAGGAGATTGCCCAGGTGCGCACGAAGGCCAAGGCGGAGAGCGCGGCGCTGCACGCGGGGCTGCGCAAGGAGCAGATGAAGGTGGAGTCCCTGGAGAGAGCCCTCCAGCAGAAGGTAACACGCCTGCCCCCCTGCCAGCCCTGCCAGCAGTGCCTTTTGCTGCCCTGAGCATCCTGTTGGGGGTGGAGGCGTCCTCCAGATTTTCGGCCCAGGAAGAGTTTTGTGGGTTTAGTTTTTGGGGTGTTTTTTGTTCGCTTGGGGTTTGGGTTTTTTTTTTGTGTGTGTTTCGTGGGGCTGGTCTGGTTTTTTTGGGGCAGAACGGGCAGAGCTCCCTTACGTGTGCCTGCTGGCAGAGATGTGGGCTGGGCACAGCGTGGTGGGCTGGGGCTGGGTAGCTGCAGGTCTCTGCAGCACCGGGGTCTGACAGGGATGAGGAGGGGTCTCCACGGTGCCTGGATGCACAGAGGAGCTGTCACAGGGGCAGGTCTAGAAGCCAGCTGCCCTTTCCCACACAGGCTCGCTGGCAGATGGGACCGGGTGTTATCCCCCACCAGAGTCCCCAAGGTCTGCTTTCCTTCCAGAACCAGGAGATCGAGGAGCTGACCAAGATCTGTGACGAGCTGATCGCAAAGCTGGGGAAGTCAGACTGAGCCCCCCGCCCTCGCCCAGCACTCTGCACTTGGCTGCTTTTCTCGTGACGTCGAGCACCTTGCCTTACCCCCAGGGCCCCCCCCAGCGAAGAACACACCTCCAGCTGCCCCCCTTGGCTGCTGGACCTGTGGCTCCCCAGCAGAGCTGCTCCCCTTGCTGTCCCTGTCTGCTTCCCACAGCTCCGGGACTAGGATCCCTGTGGTCAGGCTGGGAATTCTACGGTCACCCAGGGTCTGTGTGTCCCTTCCAGGGCCTGTGTGTCCCTCCCAGGGTCTGTGTGTCCCTCCCAGGGCCCGCTGTGCTGTCCCTCTGCACCAATGCCACCTCTCAGCTGGGAGGTGACACCTCAGGCTCTGTCCCCCCTGGCTGGGCTGGGTCTGGTTGTGTCCCCACCACGCTCTGTTCACTTACTGTCCTCACGTGCTCAGCTGCACAAGTTCAGCCACGTGGTAGGTCCTGCCCTGGGATGTGGGTGATGCCAGGGCTGGACCTGCTGGCTCTTGCACTGGGAAAGGGGACCTGGCACAGGCGTGGCCGGTCTCTGGTTTGTGGGTGAAGCACAGCACAGCCCGTCCCTGTCCCTGGCCGTGCCGGCCTCAGAGGAAGGGAGCCAACATCTCTGCATTCGTGCACTTTATGAGGCATTTATGGGCACTCACTCAGGCTTTCTGCTCACTCCTTCCAGTCAGGCACAGCCCTGCTGCACGTCTCGATCCCCCCAGAGCACCAAAACAGGCACGTGACCAGCAGGAACTTCAGTCCTCTCAGTGGAGAGTTCGGGTGAGGGGAGGCAGGGAGCTGCTGCACCAAGGGGTGTTTAGAAACAGGGGAGATGTTGGTTCTGGGGGGCTGGGACTGCCTGTCCCCCCCTGGGTGACCCGGGGTTGGACGTGGGCAAAGCCAAGGCTGTTGCTGTTGGCTCCCTGTGCCGTGGCGAGGTCAGGGTGCTGCTTCAGAGGCTGCAGGAGGAAGGAAGCAAAGCCTGAGCTGCCCCACGGCTCTGCTGACTGAGAGCTTTTCCAGAAGGGCAGAAGGAGCTCAGTGCTGCCCTGGCTCCCACACTGCTGTCAAAATTGCCCTTACAGCACTGAATATTAAGAGGACCCAACAAAACCCAGCCTTTACAGGCACAGGCAGATCCAGACACTAAAATAGCCTTTGAAATCTGCCTGGATGCAGCCCAAAATCTGACTTTCTGTGCAGGCAGGCTGCCCGCTGTGTTCCAGGGGTATTTGCTTCTCTGAACACACCAAGCTCCAGCAGAGTTGCTGAGGTTGCCTGTGCACTGAACTGGGAACCGGGGGACTCTGAGGTGACACAACGTGTTTAAATCCCTTTGTAGATCCCGTGTGTGCCCTCCTGGTAGTGCCATTATACGAGCCAGCCCTCCCTGGTGAGTTCTGGCACTGTTCACACCGTGCAGTGCCACGTTTCCCTGGCTGTGGTGCCCTGAGAGCAGCACTGGGTGCCCAGCCTCGGGCAGGGACTGGTGACCTGTGTGTGTGCCACAGATCAGGGTGAGCTGTGGGTTGTGGGCACAGCCCCCCGGGGTCAGGGCAGACCCATCCCATCCTGCAGGAGGCAGATTGATGGGATTGGGAAGTAGCTGCAGTTGTGGATTCTCTGCCTTGAACGGGTAGTCCTAAAGTGTGAAATAAGGGAAATATTTGCAGTTTGGACTGTTTCCTGCCCAGCCTGTTGAACACTTTCACAAACCTTTTTGCTGCTACGTTTTTGTAACAGAATTGAGCTCTTTTCCTTCTATTTTCTAATTCCCTGTGTTGAGCATGCAGAGCAAACACCTGTTTAAGCCAGAGCCATACACTTGATTATATTTTATTAGTTATATAATGTATAGAGAGAGTTTATTATACACCTAAGCAAAGATGCCAGCAGCCTGCCCCAGCATGCAGCCTCCCAGCCTGTTCTCCAGGCTCCCAGTTATCCCAGTGATGGGCTGGTCACTGTGTGATGGGAAGCCAGTGGCTGACACCACTCAGAGCTGTGTACCTGTGGCTTGTGCTGGATATTCACCCTTTGCACAGTTGACAGGAAGAGCCTTTCTTTCCCTCTTTTTTCTTCCCCTCTGATTCCCCACGTGTCCCTCTCCCAGGCTGGTGGAGAAGCCTCAGTCCTACGATCAATGAAGACTGTTTCTGTCCCACTTGTGGGATCTCATAAAGCAAACACCTGAGACCCAGAGATTTCTTGGGCAGTTGGGTTTTTGTCTTTGCAGCTCTTGAGGAACTGTAGAGCAGTGTTGCACAACCTCTCAGAGCTGGTGGAAGGCTGGTTTGGGGCACGCCAGCTCGCTGTTCTGCCCACAGCAGTTCCCAAGGTGCCGGTGTGAGGCTGGGGGAGCCCTGGTGCAGGTCCCAGGTAGGGACTGCAGCTGCCTCAGCCTCCTGCTCTGCTCAGGGCTGTGCTGCTCGTGTGCTGGCTTGGCTCCAGGTGTCACAGCCTGAGGTTGGTCTCTCCTCGGGGCGCTGCTCTGGCCCTCGGAGCCTGCAGGTAATTGCAGAAGTTTGGGTTTCACCACTCGGCACTTCCCCAGAGCCCTGACCTGTGCAGGGCGCATCACTGCTGCAACCTTCCCCCCCCCCGGGCTGCCTGCAGAGCAGGGCTCCACCGTGATCCCCTGCAGGGCAGAGTCCTCCACCCCTCCTGTCCCTGCTGCCCGGTGTCACCCGGTCCTGCTGCCTCCCTCCCCCGGCGCTGTCCGTCCCTGGGCCTGTCCACACACACCCCAGCCTGGGCAAAGACGATTCCTAAGGAATGATTTATTAACTATAATATGGTTACAGTTACATATGTATAAATACATGCGTAATGGGTATAGTTACATGGAACAGAAGGGGGGTGTTTGCAAACGGGCAGGACTGTTGTATCCCACGTGCCGCGCTCCCAAGTGCCAAGACCAGCACGGGGAAGGGCCGGTCCCCACGCGTGGGGTCACAACCTGGGTGTGTTTGTCGTGTGTTCCTCGCAGTAGAGTTTAAATGCCCCTTCCTGGCAGTGACAGGCCCCGCCCGTGTTGCTCGTTGCTCGTGCATTTGCCAGCAGATCTGTCTGTAATGAAGTGCCAACCCCCAGCCACCGATGGCTTCCCCTGTCCCCCCCAGTGTGACCCCCCAGGCAGGAACTCCCTCTGCTCTGACCCCCACCCTGCTGCTTCGTGCCACCCGTGTAACTGCCATCGCCATCAGTTTTATATGTATGATAATTTCCCTTTTATATGTCAGGTAAATATTTGTAAGAGTTATACTCACACAAATGAGATTATTATAATGATTACTAATATATTTTTTTTCCATGTTTCATTGCCTGAGTAAAAATTGTGTTTATCACCTCTTGAAAGCTTTCTTGGTGTTTGTGAGGTCGGGGAAGGGCGTTTGGAGGAGTTGGCTTTACCTTCCAGGGTGGGCCACGTTCTGCCTCAATGTTTATTAACATGGTTTACGTTGCAGTTGGTTTCAAATGAGCGCAGTTATCATCTGTTCCTGAAATCCACGTTCCTGAGCTCTGAAATTCAGACCTGGAGTGACTTTGCTGCCCTCATGACTCCCACCATGCTGTGATGATGCTGAGCCACCAGCACCACTCCCACGCTCTGCCTGCTCCTGCCCCAGCCTGGCCCGTGCCCTTGGGGAGCTGTGTCCCGTCCTCCCCAGCTAAGATGGCATTATCCAGGGGCTGCAGTGAGGCGTCATCCCCTTCCCCCTGTCCAATCACCCAAGCAGATTAGCTGGGAGAGCTTAAGACAAAACAGCAGCTACGCGCCCCGCGCCGCACACTGCTGAGAATGCCCGCCCTGAGGACCCTGCTGGCCCTGGCCATTGTCACGTCCCTGGCTGGAGAAGGTGAGTGTTCCCTGGCTCCAGGCAGTAAATTGCTGTAGCTGCTCCTGCACTTGCTGCTGCCCCGTCCGTGCCACCCACCTGCAGGCTCTCGCTGTGCCCCTGCCCCACGCTGCTCCCACCCCTTGCACAAGATGGTCTTTTGGGGGGGAGAGTGGCTTTCTCCTTCGAGTAGCACGCAGAGGAGCCCCCTGCCCTTTGCCTCTCTGCCACTGGCACAAAGCCTGGGCGTGCAGTGCCCAGCAGGGACTGCAGAGCCTCTCCTCTCCAGCTCCAGTGAACCCGAGGAGGTACCTGAGCCAAAACACAGCAGCCTCCCGTGGCTGGGGCTGTGTATTCCCAGCTAAAACTTGGTTCCTCCAAGGCAGAATCACAAAAAGCCCTCGTTAAAGGCAGGAGGGTGGTTGCACTGCTCAGAGCAATGCCATGGAGTGGGGGCAGCTCTGGATGGTTTTGGGGTCTTTGGACCAAGGCAAGATGAACCTGCCTGTGTTTTTAGCTCAGGGCAGATGAAAGGCTGTGAAGAACCGCAAAGGAGACGCAAAGCAGCCCCTCAGTGGCAGCCGGGTCACTGTGGGTTAATGGCAGGTGCTTACTCGTATCCGACCCCCCGTGAAATCCTAATTTTCCCCATTGGTGGTTTTTCTCCTCTCCCTGAGATGAAGATGGGGGCTCTGGCCAGGAGCCGGTCCCCACTGCCACGAGAGGGCTCTGCTCCGCCAGCAAAGCAGAGACGAGTCTTACTCCCAACACCAGCGGCAATTTACCCATCCGCATCAAAATCAAGGATTCATAATTTCAGGAGAGAGCAGGGTCTTCAGGTTTGGGTTTTTCTGGTCTGTGTGTGTGCTCTGAGGGGTCGCACCACTATCGGCTCTGACGCACAGGAGCAAGGGGCTGGCTCTTGCCTAACCTACCCACAGCCTCCTCTGAGGACGATCTGGAGATGGCTCGTCCTTCCCTTTGCTGCCTGTCACCACTCCTGTCCCCAGGTAGTGCCCTTGGGCTGAGCTTCCTGAGTACAGTATGGGAGCTGCTGTCATTTACAGGCACGAATACACAAAGCCTGCTCCCACAGGTTGGATGAATCCTCCCTTCTACCCCATAAAACACCCATTACAATGAAATTTGGCACAAGAAGACAAAGATCTAGGGTGGTTTTTAAATATTATGTCTACCTGTTTTTACTGTAAAGGGAATTTCAGGACTCTCGGGAAGTCTTTGCAGAGCAAGGACTCAGCGCAGCTCACCTGCTCAGTTCAGCTCTCATCATTTACAGTCACACTTGGAAGAGTTTTGCATGAATTTTACGGACAGGAGGGGCTCAGCCTGCATCCTGCTGTGTGCCTGTTCCTGGCTTGGCTCTGCCCAGTGCCAACCCTCACCTGTGCTGGGGGTCACCAGTGCC